ATAGATAGATAGATAGATAGATAGATAGATAGATAGATAGATAGATACATTTTAAAATGTCTCAAAATTGTTTTCTACTTAATAGTCAAAACATGCCTATTTTTTCCCAAAAACCTTTTGATCTACTTCCTACAATCTTCTCTAATTTTCCATCAGTGTTAAATGAAAATGTAGCTAATGACATGTCAGAATGATTTCTTTGCCCAAACTCTAATCTGCAGAAGCCCCTTCACAGACTGAATCATTTAGTGCCACCATACTCTGTGGGGATTCACACGGCAACACTGAAGCAACTCAACCCCTTTTATCAATTATACATGGCACATACATTATAAATGGCTCCCAGCAAGGAATGCATCTTCCCTGAGAGTGCCCCTGAATATAGCCTGTATGAGCTTGGAATACAGGAAGAGGCTTTCATATATTAACAAAATTTGTTTCTATGCTTTGCGTGAGTCAGTTATACATGATACATTTAAAACACATATTGATAACCAGATGTCGATCTCGGTTTAGTACTAATTCTCTTTCATAGGTAGAGTGCTGAACCATATTTCTAAGTGGATCCATCCTTCGGTGAGGCGTTTTGATAATTACAAAAATAATAGTGTCAGTGAGAATCAATAAAGAGAATGGAATTTGGGTCTTTGCTGATATCAGCAACTGCTGAAATACACGATGCAACATGTATGTGCAATAGTATTTTGCTTTGAATAAAGGTTTTGTCAGTTTCACTGCTTTGTTAACTTTCTATCAAAACTGCTTATTTAATTGAGAAAGGATTTTGTTTTTTATTTTTAAAAATGCATTTGATACTTGAAGATTACACTACCAACAGATTATATTCTTAACTAGTTTAAAAGATTCTCTGGAAAATCTCAAGCTGATTCAAAATGCTGCAGCCAGATTTTGATGAGATGTAGTGGAACAGATATTTTTTCAGTTTTAGCTTCTGCTTCTTAACTTCTTGTGATATCAAGAAAAGCTAACATACCTCATATTTGAAATATCTCACAGATCTTTTCAGTTATCTTCCCAAAAGACTGCTCTCATACTGCATTTCTGCCTGATGTTCCTACAGTTTCTACAAGGAGAACAAGAATTTTCTTAACTTTCCAAAAACAGATGGCATTTCTTTGTCATTAACTTGTGTTAAAACCTGGCCTGGTGACATGGTGCTTGTTGGCTTCTATTTCAAGTCCTCTCAACACTCAACAGGATAAATAATATGGCCACCTTTACAGAGTGTGGTTATGTTGAACGCCTTTCTCTCTAAAACTGCTTCATACATGCTGAGGATTTGAATTGAGGAGAAGATTCAGAATGACCTGTTCCTTCTTAGGAGGACTACTTGTTTCAAAATAGGAATCAAATTATTAATGATGCCTCATTTAGATTGGAATTACCCTGACTGGGATTTGGATTGGATTCAATGAATGTCTTGAATATATTGAAATCGGGGTAGCCTGCATTATATTGTGATGGTTAGGAAGGTGGTGGTCTGTCAGCTCACAGCAAGAGGGTTCTTGGTTTAAACATGAGCTGGAGGCATTTCTGTGTGGAGGGCTTTTCTTTTGTTTACTCTGGGTCTCCGGCTTCCTCCCACCTTACAAAAGCACCCTCCAGATATATAAAATGGATGGATGAATTAAGACTGCAGGGTGGTAAGGTGGTTAGTACTGTCACAAGAGGGTATTTGTTTTGGTTCCTATGTGGAACCTTTCTGTGTGGATTTAGAATGTTCTTTCCATGAACGTGTGGGATACTCTCCAATTACATGCATGTTGGGTTAACTGGTAATTCTCCCCTCAGGGTGAGTGTGCATGACTGGTAACTCATCCAGGGTGTGCCACTGTGTCTATTCTCATAATAAAAAAATTAAAACCATTGAGAAACCATGTGGTAAATGACTTTACAAGGGTTTCTTGGTCTGTTACCTATCATAAAGGTCCTTTTCTATATAGTCTTAGTACAACTGTTATCACAAACCTGGTTAATCATTAGTCAGAGTGAAACCTTGGTGTGCTAACAATACTCTCTGAGTAAACACTCAGAAAGAAACTCAGTTTTCACTATCAAAATATCAATACTGTGACTATTTGAACATTGCAAATACACACCTTGTAGGGATTGTAATACAGCAACCAATTGTGAACTCTTAACCATTAAAATTAAACTGGATTTTGTATAAACGTGTAGCTGAAAAACATTTAAGAAAAGAAAAAACAGCTAAATTGAACACAGCCTGATAAACTGCAAGCCCAATTTTCTTTTGTTAATCACTAAATTGAACAAACTTACCCAGTCCTGTCCAACTTGCCCCTCTGCTGGCCTCCTCAGTGTCTCATCCCAGCAGATGTTTGATTTTCCGTGGCGCCAAATCTTGCTCCGTGTCTTGTAAGCATAGTAAGCCGAGAGGGATAAGGCCAACACCACGATCAGACCCAATACAAACGCCACTGCCTGAGGAAAGAGCGTAAATGACAAATTAGAATGGAATGAAAAAGAATAGAAAATAATAGTAGTCAATCAAATGTAGAACAAAAAATTAACTAAATGAATCTATCTAACCTCCTCAGGGTCCATGTAACAATAGTGGTGCAGGTATTGATTATACATGGGGAACCCTCCAGGAAAACCTGCCCCCACACTGCCGCTGAGGCTGGGGTTGCCTTGGATGTTCTGACACATCCTCAGCATGGGGTTATACAGCATGCTCTGTGAACTCTGAGACATTGGGTTCACTCCAATCACAAATATGATATTGATGATACCCTAGAAGCCACAATATGGAAGAATTAGAGATTAATGCTGCCAGTTCCAGAAACCACAAGCATGTAACACTCGTACTAGCTCATAATCCCTTATTAACATCTGGTAAGTGTCATGCTTAGCTCAAATTACTATGTCCCACTGTTATCATTATTTACTAGTGTAATGTTGCGCCTAGACAGTGATTGATTCTGCATAATTCTAGTAAATAGTTTTAGATCAATTAGAAAACATAATTGGCCACGTCTATGGTCAAAGGGATCATTCTGATTAATGAACTGACAGTGAATTATTCCCTAATTATCCTCTCAGCCTAACTGGTTGGTCATTATGTAAATGAGCTTATGACTATTATACAATGTGCATGTGTTTAAAAAGAAAAGTAGCTTTGGCCAATAATTGATTGTAAAGAAAAATATAAATAAAAACAAAAAATACCAATCACGTTACCAGCTTTTCTCAACAGTCTTTAGACTGATCATTCAAATTTCTGTCAGATCAATCCCTCTAAAAATCTAAATAATTGATATATGACAAACCTAAGGCTTAAAACTGGAAGCCTTAGAAAATGACTAGTAGTGTGGTTTTTGCATAGGACTCAACAGAACGTAAAATAATGGATATGATCCACGATTACATTGATTCTTTATACATATATGTGTGTGTGTACACAAATGAATAATAAAATGATAAAAAGGTGGGCTCACCTGGAAGACGGCAAGGATGATGTCACAAATAAACACAGTGAGGTAAAACCTGCATCCACGCATGCTTGGGGACCTTGAGAAACTTGCCACCAAAAATCCCAGGGAGACCAGAAAGATGATGGAAGCCATAGATATCATTGCTGCTTTGGCTGACTGTGGTGTCATGTAGGAGCCTCCGTAGCCATAGCTGCCCCCATAATATCCTGACCCTGCTGCTCCAGCAGAGCCTGTGTCTGGGACAACGTACCCCCCATAGCCAAATCCATTTATGTCCCACACTAAAGTTGAAGCTACACAGGCAAAGATGATGAAACATATGAGCACCGTGGCCCCTTTAAAAGTTTTGACAAAACCAGGCGGGGAGAACCAGCGATAAAACAGTTGTGGCGTCCCCTCCATATAATAAGAATCAAAAGGAGGATCATGGGTGTATGGGGCATACTGGCTCTGGGGGGAATGAACACTCCTTGGAAGATAAAAACTTTGGGAAGTGGTGCTGTAAGGTGGGCTGTATACAGGGGGGCTATCATAGTACCGGGGATCATGCATAGTCCAGTGGATGATAATACAATTTCACCTAAAAGAAGGATGGAAAAATAAGGCTAACTTAACACGTATTGTGTTTAAATGCTGTATCACACCAGTTTAGATAGCTTATCAATAATTGTTTTCAAAGAACATAATGCATAAATAGCACATCAAAATAATGCATAGAGTGCACATCATTCACCTCAACTCCTCCCTCAACTTTTTTGCCCTTATGGACAACACCACTCCAGAAGAGCTCAACCCAACAGACTTCAATTATTTACAAAGACAGCAGACAAAAGGCGATAGGCCACCAAAGCGTGTTGGTCTCTGTAGGTGAGAACCATGAATGCCTGCCCTCCTGTAAGGCATCGAAACTATTTGCAATACCTATGCGCCCCTGATCCCCACGGCAGGGGAAGCTCAAGAAAAACCCCGGCCAGGTGTGTAGAAAAAAAGTCTAGGGGTTTTATTCAACTGATTCCCTTACTATATCGTTCTAAAAAATAAACCAAAATCTCTGAATAACTTGTCGTCGGTAAATAATGATCTCCTAAAAGTTTCGTTTTCCCACAAATTGCTGTTTTTCAGGATGTGACACAGAAAAAGGGTACTTGCGACTTATGCTTAACTTCTGTTCACTTCCCTTTCCATATGTTCACAGTTCAGTGCACTGTCTTTCATTCACAGATTACGTTCCCTGCACATTCAAAACGTCAAATTAATTTACGATACTGTTCTGTGTTCAAAAACTGACATATAGTGTCCAACACCAAAATGATGCGAAACTTACCCGGACAGAGACGGCGCCGCTGCAGCACCTGTAGAGATCATTGGTGCGCAAACTGCGTCACTAACGTCACCTGCCTGCTTCCGTTTCACAGCTTCCGTCTCATGACTATTACAAATGTGTACATGTATTATCATTTTAGTTTATGATTGATAGTTTAAGATTACGTGAAAGAAAAAAAAAGCGAAACCTGTAGGGCAGCTTGACTCAAGAGGTTTATCAGATGCGTGTCTCAGCGGGGGCACAGTCCACCCCTCTATCAGCCTGCTTCTCCAAAGGGTGCTTCAGTTAAATTAAAATGTCCTCAGGAGTGAGTGAGAGTGTGTCTGTTCAGCCATGTCACAGTAAAAATGTGCTTTCATATAACTTCCCAGCGTCTTACAGTCTTTACCAAACTTCACACTCTTCTTCCCTGTTGAGCTGTAAAAATTAGAAATGACCCAAAAATGTGCAAGGTTTATTTGATCGGAGTGACACACCATAAGTCAGCTATCACTTGATAAACAAAAAATAAAACATTTTACAGTATGTCACCACTTTCTGCCCTATATATCAGTGTCAGTGTTTTATGGGTACAGTGAGGTAAACTATTTTTTTTATAGCAAATTGTTCACTCTGTACATTATAGTATCTACAGTGATAAAAGTTTGTGTCCCACAGTTTCCTGAAAAGACTGCTTTATGTGATTTTTTCAAAAGATTAATACAAAAGTACAAGAAAGAAAAAGATAAATGTAAGGCATACGAGTCCAGGGCATGGAAGCAGGGATTGACGCTAGACATAAGATAAACATGGCATGTTAACATGGCTTCAGGTAGATTGACTTTTAACAAACAAACAAAACAAAAGTAATAGAAATAATATTCCAAACAGCAAACTATAAAAAATGTAATTAAAAGGACACTTCATATTAGCTTTAGACATAATAAATTCAGTTTATCCAGAAAATGTTGTTACTCCTGCAAAATGTCATCAATCCAGAGAAATAATTCCGTCTTAAGGAACATAGAAATATGTAAATGTCTGCAAAAAGTTTCCAGTTTTGTCATCAGTTACTGAGTTTATTTCTTTCAGCTATTCTCTCTGTCTGAAAATTTGTTGCAGTCTGGTCATACCTTTGTATTCTGTTTTTAACATGGCCTAATTTAGCCTTCAAGTAGTCACAGTGTTCTTTCTTCTCAAGAAAAACAGGGTCCTGTTAAAAACACAGAAAAACATTTTCTGGTTTGGAGCTATATTTTTCCTCTTTCACCATGTTACCTGATTTCTTCTGGGAATTTTTAGACTTATGATTTGTCTTAGACTTAGCATATATTATATGCACGACAATGAATTATAAATTATGTCTGTGTTGTATATTATAATGATCAAATCATTTCAGTTCCAGAGTTGACAGTCACAAAGAAGATTGCAGTCCATCACTTACCTTCTTTTTTTCTTGATATTTCTTCAAGATGCTTTGAATTCTCTGCTGGTCCTATGGGAATGACAGACATCTGATGAATATGTTTGTGCCAAAGGAAGCCTTATCTTCACCTAGAGGCACTGCATAAGGTTTATGTAGAAATCAGTAACTTCAGGTTTGAATACATCTGTCTCACCTCCAGGCTTTTTCCTTCTCTGGGGAGTTGTACCATCATGGCATCCAGCTCCCTGAACTTATTGAGAGTGGTAATAATATCTCTGTGAATGTCCTTGTATTCCTGATACTGGTCATTGAAAACTGCTTTGTACTTCTCTCTTTCCTCTTCACAGCTGATCTCTGGATATTTCCTACAAACATGATAATATAAGAGCTTTTGTGTAGTTGATATGGCTGACAGAAATGAGAAAAGCAAAACAAAATAAATCCAATTCAATGGTTTTGATGTTTACTTACAAGATGTAGTCTGCAATCACATGCCTTTTGGGCATGTAATTGGATGTTGTCGCTTTGTTCAGACTGACAGAGGTGATCTGAACATCAGAATGGAGTGCCTGCTGATAGCAGTTATTTTTGGGCGCTGACTGATCTGTTTCATCCTTGAATGATATATGTTTTGATTTTTGAGCAGTTAATGGGATGGACTGATGAAACTCACCCTGGATTAAATTATAAGAAAGAAAAACAACACATTTAATAATAAGTAAAATGTCTTCCTCATCACTATCATTATTTGTGATCTTTGAAAAGTGATCCCATCATCAGACTAATGTCTTTATACCAAATTCAATATGAAGTCTGTGTAGAGAGGCTAATGGATTATTCCTGAGGATAGAAAGGATTAATCTTAAATGGTATTATCATACTACAGTCCAAGAGTAAATAAAAGTTTTGTGTAACAGTATCTTTTTTATTTTAAGCTTTGTAATGTTTCCAATGTGGCATCAACTTTAGCTCTAGAAATCTCATCAGTCTGTGAGTTTGACAAATCTGGCTTCCTAGCTTCCTACAGCTCCAATGGAAACTGATATAATTCCTTTAAGAGAAAATTATTTGGAAGTATCAGCCTAATTTCAGTAATTGATAAGAGCTTTAACCTATTTCTTAATGCACCTATTATTAAAAAATTATATATTGTAGGAAATTGATATGTTTGCATTTCACCATTAATGGTTCACTTTTGGGATGTTTTGCTTATAAAAATATTATTTTTATTATATAAAAGTGTAATGAAGTGGAAAATAAACAGGGAATTCTAATTCACATTCTACCATGCCGTTTTTGACAAACATAAAGAGGATGATAAAGAGAAAAACAGGGTTCAGAGCTACATGGCAAATCTTTGAGGTTGAGTGCATTATATGTTTCTGCAGAACAAGCTGGCACATCAAAGTTTATATTTATGCATTTAGCAGATGCTTTCATCCAAAACGACTTAGAATGGAGGGATAACATTACAGTTAGCACCAACCTGACAGTAGGTTAACTTTAAGAAAATGACTACAACGACGACAGCCAGTGTTCTCATGAAAAAAGTTCTGAAAATCACTAAGTGAAATTCTATAGGACGTGACATTGTGGATATCACACAATATAAAAAACATCTGAACCTACAGACCTTTTACAGAGAAAATAATGTTAGACCTACTGTATTCTCAAAGTACTGCCTCTGCCTGCGAGCAGTTTCATGCCTCCACATCTTCAGGCAAACCAGGAAGCTTCCGAGGTATGTGGCCATGTTGGTGAAGACGAAAGCTGCTCCTGCCATCTGGCCCCCGTCAACTCGACACAGATTGGCCATAATGGGGTTAACACCTATTGTCATGTAGCACAGCCCTCCACGATTTAAATCGTTCAAGTATACAATCCCTGCTGCCATGTAGAATAGGAACAGTGCCAAATTGATGAGGGCCTCTGTCAGGGGCCACCAGGGGGAGTCGAGGAGGATGGTGCGATAATACATTGTCATTCCTATCACCAAGAGACAGAAGGTAATGATCCAGGAAATACCAGCTACAGCTAGAATAAATGGAGTCATGGGACCTCTGTAGCTGTAGCCAGATGGTCCGAACCCATTGTTATATATGCCATTATACTGTCCATAGGAGTTGGACCACTCACTGTCTTTCTGAATGTATGCAATGACACATGCAATGACCATTCCCCCAAATAAGAGCTGAATGCCAGCTAAAAGCCTAAGCAATCCTGGCCATGATTTCAGGTAAGAATACTTCTGCTGATAGACTTCCAACTTTTCAGCATAATACTCTGCAGGGTGAATGCTGGTTAGCAAAGACTCCTCTTGCAGGCCCTGACAAAACAGATTGTCATTGGGAATTTCTGTCGACAAAATCTTATTTGAGTTCTTGTCGGAACTCTCTGTTGATTCATCCCAATTCCCGTTCTCCAACAAGGGACAGACAGGCGAGCTTACCCTGGTCCCATTAGGAAGGATCTGTATTCCAGTTTTGGTGGTTTCAGAGTCACTTTCATTTGTACATTTATAAAAGTTGTTACCCCATGACTGAGGGATGAGTGATTTTAGCCTTCTTTTCATGTTTCCCTTTTTGTCACTGTTGTTTTTTTCAGGATAAGGTTTCTTGCTTGATGTGCAGTCTGTTGAGTTCGTTTCATCATCGCTGTCATCTGTCTTATTATCAGGTGTTGGTGTGTGAGTAACCCACACAGGCACAGATGCATCTCTGTTAGAGGTCAAGTCTCCACTTCCATGTTCTTGTCGTTTGAAATTTGCGTCCATGATTTTTTTTGCGCACGCTGCAGATTTACTGTAGGGTTTTACAAAGGGAGAAGATATCACAGAATCATTACGAAGCAAGAGGACAAGGAACTGTGTGTGAGGGGAGTGGGAAAAATTGTACAGTTCAGAGTATATAATAATCAGAATTGTGTAATTACCTGATTAACTTCCGTTAACATTCAAGAAACCTCAGAGTTCAGCAGAGCTAAAGACAAAGTGAAACCTTTGCTTACCTCTAGACATTACAGGGGCAGTAAAAAAGTACTCTCTTGGGAAAACATGTTCCAATTGACATATTTAGAACAGTCCCTACATTTTCAATTTCACTGACAGACAGATAACCTTCTATCTTTCAGAAGTTAGGTATAGTGATGAGGCAAAACATTTAGTGTTACATATGTTTTTTGTTTTATATTGAATATTTTAGTGTTGGCCAATTCAGTAGTATGTTATTTGTCCAACATGGACAACACAAAGCCATCAAAAGCACTTTAAGGTTCAGCTTTACAAATGCTCATGTGCCTCTGTTACAAGATGAAAAGACCTAAGAACCAAAGTGTGCCTACACTGCTGCCCAAATTGGGCATGCATTCCAGTTATGACTCAGCAAGGCACTCTACAAGCTCTTAATACACGAGTTCTGTCATGAAACTGTCCCACCATCAATTTAAGAACATATTACTATCAAGGCCCATATTCGTTTTTAAGACAAAAACATCTCTCATAACAATGACTTACCTTTCTAAGTCTCTGGCCACAAAGATATTAGTGTCCTGCAGGTCATGAGGTGTTTATTTTCAGGGTAACAACAAAAATTCTACAAAATGTAAAATGGCTCCGTGACCACCAGTCCTACTCTATCGTTCACCTTCCACAGTGCCTCACCACAACTTTACAGCCACAGTGCAATTGGCTGGAATGTGTGGAGGACTGAGGGGGAGTAAACGCTTAATCATTAAACATGGACTGCCCCTGTGCTGGTACTAACTGGCACAACTAGGCTAAACCATGGAAAACATGGATAGGCTCAACCAGTTGCCATCCATAAAAAGCAGCTTTGCCATTTAAGCAGCTTTGAAATAACATTGATGTTATTTGATAGATAAGAAAAGGGCAAATACTGGATTATCCAGTAATTAATGCTACTTCATGGACTGCTGGGTATGTATAAATGCATTTGGTTTTTAGCAGGCAATATTACTATTAGAGATATAATTTTGGACAATCAAAGATAGCAGCTTGTCCCATAGATTACATTTGGGGACAAACAAGTATTTGTTATCACTGCTGTATTATCAATTACATCTATATCTTCTATCCCTAAAATACTGCTTTATCATTGCATTAGTCATGAATAATTCATTTTCACCTGAGCTGTGTCGTATTGTGTGGCAGGAGTTGGATATTTGACACTAGAGGGCAGCAGGCTCTTGCAGTTCCCTTCCATAGCTTCTAGATGCCCCTTTCTCTGTTTCTAAAAGCAAAAAGCAGGCAGTGATGGTAATATATCCAACATCCAACATGTATCACACTTTATTTTCTAAAATCATTCCATGCTTCATGTTTGATCTAAAATTTCAGCTTCCACAGCCCATTTACCACTGAAAGAAACACTACTCCCTCCCAATCTGATGCCAATGTGTGCCAGTGCATCTTCCAAAACAGCATGGATTTGAATTTCATGAAGAGAGAGCTCAGGGCAAGGACATCTGTAGTCCACCCCCCAAAGCCCCTCTGGAAAACACGCACACACACACACAATGTAGTACTCATAGCTGATACTGTAACACATAAGATGCAACCCACTCTCTCAAGTAAATCTCAGCAATATCCTTAGCCTTGGGTTACCTCATCTGCTGCTGCCATGCATGTCCTCTACTGCAGGCACCGGTACCTTCTCTGCAAGCAATGGTACAAGATCAAATGTGGGGGTGGGTTGGGATATTTTTTTGGATGAAAAAGAAACAACCAAGTTACGTTAGTTTTGAAAAAAAGGGGAAATATATACGATTTATGTTAGTTTAAAATCATTTAAAAATACACAAAGAAAAAATAATAATAACAATTAAAAAAAATACACAAAGAATATCAGTATCATCACATTTTACTTAAAATATCATGAGAGAGAAAGTAAAACATAAACTGGGGCAATACAACTACATAAGGACTGAACATTTTAGAAAAAAATGTCTTTATTAAAAAGCTGAAATCACTTATTTTTTAGCTTAAATATGACGTTACAGCTAACAGAAAGTATTCTTGCCGTAAAAAGATGAATGTTAAATTAGGGAACTAGCGTGAAAACTAAATTTTAAGGTAACATAGGAACGCAACATAGCAGATTAAGCATAAAAACTTCATTTGGATGGCTCAGGTGACCCTGAAATATCCAGTAGTTGTGTTTCTAAGTGTCTAGGCTGCTGGGGGACTTAAGAGATAAACCTTTCCTCACTCTTTGCTTGTTTACATCTATATGCATATAGCATTGCTATTGTTATTATGTTGAACTTCTTCTCCATAGCACTTATCCCTGCCTAGCATTAAAGTGTTCATGTTTCCTCTTCCCTGCACTCATAAGTCTGGTTCTGTTAAAAGAAGATTTTTCTTCCACAGTCAGTTTATGCAAACTCAAAATGGGGATTAAATTGAAATGTTACTTTTGTGCAATCTATTTATTTTCTTATCAAGGCAATTTTTTGGAACTGGAAAATTCCTTTGCAGCTCTACTAATCACTTAGTTCTGCAAAGGGAAATAACAGTGAATCAAAAAGGATCTGCAAGGAATCTATTGTTTATCTACAAGATTATTGGCTGAATTTGGCTGGAACATTTTGGAGTGACAGAAGTACTAAGTGTAAAATCACATAGATTTGACAGTATATGAAAAAACAAGATGTCTCAATGTAAAAAAGACAAGGAGATTTTTGTTTTCGTTTTCATTCTACTGTTATCCAAGAATCACTGATGAAAGCTCCTTTTACAGTGAGGTCTAACAGTTCTTACACATATGCCATTTACCCATATTTAAAATGTTTTACTTTTATTATCAACATTTCATCCATCATAACAAAGAACCTAACTTCTCTCCATCCGCCTTGCAATTTACAGAGAAATGGGTAATATGCAAAGAAGTGCAGATTGACAGATACAGACAGAAAGACATAAACAGTAGATGCTGAAATAAATTATACTCTTAAGACATTTGTAGGAGTGAAAAAGCCCTTCACACCCACAATCCATCACTGTACCGTTGTGTATTAAAACGGTGAAAAACAAAATCAATACTCTCTTTCTCTCCGATTTCCCCAAGTGTATGCCAAACCATGTTAGATGAAAGCGATAAGTAGGGCATTAGGTGCATATACTTGCCAGCTAGTTCTTCTCAGGTTGAAAAAGAGACAAGTGTGGCCTGTGACAAATGTAATACATTAATTAAATACTTTCCCCTGCCTACTCTGAGAACTCCCACAAGGATTTTTCACATCCTCAATACCCTGCAAGCCGATTCCTCCTCCTCTTCTTTCTTAAGCAGGTCATCTTCAGTTTTCAACAGCATGCTTCCTTCTTTCTTAGCAACTATGGGCTCATATTGACTTCCCACTTGCAGAAATCATTGGTAATGGTCACTGCTTTTCTCCTTCCTCACACTTTTTGACAGAAATACAGTGTTATTGATAGAGAATGATGGAATAATTGGGTCACCTTTACAGGGTATTATCAACACTGGATATTTCCTGGAATCAGAAGTCAAATTTCCTACTTATCAGAAGATTATAATACAAGATCTTGATAAATTTTGCATCCTAAAGACAAAAAACTGTGTATCACACAGGAAAAATAAAGAACAGCTTGGCCGTTTCCTATTTTTCAAATGCATGTCTTTGGGTCTGTGTAGCAACAACTTTAGGGTGACTGTCTGCCACTCTTATGGGATGTCAGTCTGCGGCATAGTCCCTGATATGAATAGTAGCTTGTTATTTGAACATTAACTGCTCTGTGTGTGAATAAATGTGTGCAGCCCATAGTTCACCTTGGAAAAGTGCCAAGGCAGCTGTGTGTCCTCTGGAATGGTATTTTATGTGAATATCAATATATTTTACCACAATCATGTTTAAGTTTGCCTAAGAACTAAACCTGTAGTGCCTGTAACAGTTAACACATTTGTCAACAATCTTTTGAAATGTCACAATTGGCGTTCGGTTGGGTCATCACCCATCATTTGGAGGTCTTTGTCTATGAAATACAAAAATGACCTGACAACACTGATGTGCTGTAAAATAAAAAAATGTAGTCTTATATCTAACATAAGGTGAATCTTTGACAGTGAATAAAGGCAAAAACAATGAAGGCCATAGCTGAAGATAGTCTTTAATGTTTTAAGCTTGGTGTCTCCTTGCTAAGACAAAAGTTTGCCAGTCAAACGAAGGATCAATAAAGATTATACAGAGAATATGTTAAACCAATTTGCCATCCATCAAAAGTTGATTTATTCCAGTGTTACTACGTACATTATGCTTCATGTGGCAGTGTACACAGAACAATGATTGAACTCCATTTTTTCTGTTCATGTGGTTTTCGTTTCCTTACTTGTTAGCAGAACTGTGTTCTGATGCCTGTTCCACACGGAAAGTCTACTTCTCATGATGGTAAAATACTCTGGGATGCTTGTTACATTGGCTCACCTATCATCAACAGAATCGCATTATAAATGTCCCTCACTTTATTACAAATTAATTTGTAATTTGGAATGGCATTTTGGCAGGTATTTGTTTATCAAAGGATAAGGAGAAAACAAACCATTACAGCAAAGTAAATAACTTAAACTGGAGTTTCCTTCAGAATCTGATAATATGAAACGGATCTTATTTATTTACTTACTAAATTCAAAGTCCATCAAATACTTTGTAGGTACTGGTTGTGCATTGCACCCAGCTACTTTTCTTCTGTGTGCTTCACCTTTGTCCTGCTTCAGTGGTGACATCTACAATGAGGTCATATTTACAGGACACCCACTATTGCTGCTCACCCTCCCCCTCCCCTCCCCTCCGGTCCCCCCTGAGCAAAAAACATTGTTTAACATTTAATTAACTATGGCTATCATCTTTTCTAACTTATTTCCTGCTAACTGATGAAGGATGATATGCTCAAACAGCTGTGCTGTTACCCCTCCCTGGGTTACATACTTTCGACATCTGTTTTTTTTTCTGGTCAAACTGATTATCACACATTGAGTGAAAATTGGTATAAGGCTACCTTGCTTCTTCCTTTTGTCTGTTTTTTGTATTCCTTGGAATTCTTTACTGCAAGCGGTCCGGGAACCGATTTGCGTAGAGTTGACATGATGCTCTAATTCTTGGCAAATGGAATATTGTAAGGCTAAACTTTGGAAGAGATAAAGAGGTGAAACCCATGGACAAAAACACCTATTAAAAGTAATTGAAAATTGTCCAATATTTGTCCAGAATCTGTGATGTGATGGATACCTTTATATCATCAAGGTGGAGCACACATTGTAGGAGAAGTGGCTGGACATAGGGGCATCAAAAATAGTCATGCTTCATCAACTCAAAAATTAAGGGGAAAAAAAGCAAATAATCATGCATTATTAGGTTCCATTCAGCAAACATTTTGGTACAGTGGACTAATTACTCTATCACAAACTTTGACTTGGATCCTTTTAAGCCTGAAGAAGCCTGGAGACAAAATTATGATGTAGAATAAAGGAAACAAATCCACTTGTTGTCTTCAGGGGCAATACATTTTATTTTTAACATGTCTATCCCTGTGGGTCTCAGATTATCATTCAAACAATAGCATGCTAGCCTGCTAACCCATGGACTCACTGTGCTATTTAAACATGCTTTGGGAAATTCAAAGACACTTGTCTTCAGCTTTGTAATGCCTCACAGCTTTGTGTGGCATTAAATCATCTATGTTATAGTCTTTTTTAATTCAATTATTGTTTTATATAAATGGTCAAAACTTTCCTGCAGAGAAAGACCTAGGTACAGGCCTGTACAGTAAACATAAAGTTACCACTAGCTACCACTTAGCTCAGCCATCTAGTAAGAGAATCACTGTATTGTCCCCTTTGACCACAACATATAAATTTTACGTTTTACTTTTCACACAAATATAGCATAACATGGTTACTAGTTTTATTGAATTGTGGTGTAGGTAGCTTAGTTAAATCAAGTGAATATAGACCTTTAATTTGAGCAAGGCCATCTGTAAAGATAATAATTTAATAATGCCAAAAAGTCAAAATAGTTCATTCAGCTATTTTTATGCACTTTATTTGGTTGTAAGATTAAAAAATCTGGATGGAAATACTGAAATTTGGTATATTAATAAAACAATATCAAATCCTTCATAAGTCCTTTGTATTATGTAAATTCTTGATAGTTGTGTCGAATTAACCCACTTTGCTACATAGTTTGCCCCTTCAGTTCTGCCTGGAAATTTTGCTGACCTTGCACTTACCTCAGTGACTGAACTGGTAACAACTATTTGAAAGGAATATTTGAGTTTTTACACACTGCTTGGAACTTAGTTAATGACTTCACCTTGAAGTCTAACCTGTCTCATCTAAAGCTTATTTCATATTTACAGTGCAGACATAAGAATTATAACAGTCAAACAGTCAGCATGAGAGTTTGTAAGCAAATTTATATTTGGTGAGGGCTCAATTCATGGTTCTTGCCAGCACTCTTATTGATACCATTTAGGATTTTTTTGTACTAGTGATTTTTACTGCATCTTAAAAAATGTATGCTTTACAGAATTGTATTACTGCAACTCCTAAGGATCTGTAAATCTAAAAATGTTAGATATCCTAGAAAGAAAAACTTGTAATAAAAAGAAGAACAGAGAATCATCAAACAGTCAAATTAAGAAAAAAATAAGAAAAAAAAGAAAGACAGATAATCAAGTCATCTATGGAAGATACCGATCATTTGTCACTTTTGCACAGAATCATGCAAAAGAGTCGGGTTAGTATCTTTGTTCAACCAGTGATGTTAGCCTGTTTTACTGCAGGCCAGCACATTTCAAGCCATGCCATTTGCCCAAAACAACAGGAAGCTCTAGTTAGAGGTGGTGAAAAAAGTAAACTACTTCATATTTCATTGTTGTGTGCAGCATTGAGCTAAAGTTAATACACTCACTCTCTCTCTCTCTCTCTCTCTCTCTCTCTGACAATATACTCTGTCTGTTTCACGTTTTCTCATTCTTCTTACTTTGAATTTCACACCTTGTTAGTAGAAATAAAAAAGTTTCTCAAAATATTTGGAACTGCAGTGTAATGGAGGCAATGTTATGCATTACAGTAAGACATTTTCTTTACATTTTTGGAGAGGAATGTATCTGAAAAAGGAATGCAATGCTGTATTCAGACTGTTAACATCGTAAAAAAGCTCTGAAATTAGTAATTAAATAACCCTCTACTATTTATACATTCAGGCACTGAAAAATCACATGTCAATATGTAACTAAAAAAGATAGTCGCACTTTTCCCCTTGGTAAGAACAAGGAAGCTGATACCTTGAAGTTGGCAAATGTGTACATTTTTCCTACCAAGTATTAATGCCATATGAATCCCCTTTGCTATTCATTTGTGTTTGTTTTCTCCCTTCCCTTAAGTGCATGTTAACTGACATCAAGTCAGAGCTTTCAAAACTTCTCCTAAAGCTTTCACCCTAACCTAAGGGAAAGAATCCATGACACTTGAGAGGAAAATCATATAGTTTGTCTCGCTCTCCTCAATGGACAAACAGATCAATGGACAGATGGGTGGACAGATGTCCTCCATGGCCTAATAGGGCCAGCAGGTGAGCCGAAGCCCTCATATCCATAGACCAGCTTCCCATTCGTGGTTAAGGACTCTCCGGTGTGATAGCCAGCTCTCACCCCAGTGACCCTGAACTCTATCATTTTTAACTATACAAGGGCTTTTACAAAAAAGCTAACTTGAACAGCCATACAATGGCTAAAACATAAACCATATCTCTACCTAACTCGGTTTTTCTGTCATCTTTTGATTTTTTTAATCTCTTGTATCTTTTTTATGAATTGTGTTTGTTTTCTTTTATTTTCTATATTTTGTGTTACTTTGCCTCTTTTTGTTCTTTTTGAGTAGCTCTAATCCAGGCCTGTGCCGAAAGACTCAGTCACAGAGGAATTGGTTTTTGGATTTTTTGGTCGATGGTGAGGATAGAACGAAGGGTTGACTGGGAGAAAGATAAAGGGGAAGGATAAGGTCATGGGTAAAAATGTGGGTTCATTTCAGACGAGGACTTGCAAGTGGAAACAGGGAAGGTTCCGGCTGGGCCAGAATGATCTGATGCATTAGTTTAGGAAAGGCAAAGCCTGATGGTGATTACAGGAGTTTTGTCAAGGTTATCCACTGTCAGAAGAGGTGTGTGGTGCTGTAGAGGGAGAACGTCGCCTACGAGTAGTGGAAGTCCAAGATCGTTCAGAGCGTTCAGAACGCTCTGATGCTAGAGAAGCGGGTCGAAAGCGGTGAACAAAGCCGTCCAGGAAGTCCTGTTGCTGCTGGGTTATGGCTTGGGAGATGAGGCAGGGCAGCGCCTGCAAGCTGCCCGTCACCGAGTCCAGCTTATCCTCAAGTGTTCCGATGCGCTTGTCCAACTCCTCACTGCGCTCCTGCAACTCTGACACTAGGTCATACATCACATTCTGGGTCTTATGAAGAGGAGAGCATGAGTTTTGGTATAGGCAAGAGCAGTGGGACAGAAAAGACAAAAGGAGGGGGACAGAACACAGAAAATACATTAAAACACTTTTTTTTTTTTTAAATTCCGCAAAGCTGCCGGCATCAGCAAAACTTATGAGACACATTATGTTTGCAAAAAAGCTAATTATTCATATCCATCCTAAAGTCCATCAGTACACAGTCTAAGATACTTACTCAGTGTCAGGGGGAGGAAATACAGACGAGTTGTAAAGTTTCAGCCTGTCAGCATTGATTTAACAACCACACTGTATAGTACATTTATAGCTATAGAACCCTTTTTATGTTTTAATGTGTAAATGTATTCAATTGACACAATGCATTTATGTTATTAGAAGTGTCACCATTATTAAGGCGCATTCAGTATCTGCACTAGTGGCTAGGGTTACAGTATGCTTGATAGAAAGATGAGGGTTTAAAAGATTAATCCGTTTTTTATACTTTCTTTCTGTTCATCTTTGTTTTTTCTTTCTTTATCCCCTTTTCTTACTCTTTAAGAGCTGACCACAGTGGTCTCAAAAAACCAGAATCAGTCACCATCTCCGAAGAAACAGTTTCATGTACGAAGAGCTCTTCTCCACCAGGTCCTGACATGCTACATGCCAGCGGGTGAAAGAAACACACATGAACCCTGCACTCATGGAACATGTACACACCAGTGAATGGAATCAGCCCAAACTGTTTTAAAAGCATTGATCATGAAGGATTCAACAAAAAAGGGACTCTATATATCTGCCTTTGTACAATTTGTATGTTCACAATGTTCAGTTGGTTAACTATGACTTGTTAATCTGTCTGGTCCTGGAAGTCCCACAGGATTTTAACCTAGTCAATCTCCATTACATTTGGAGGGTATCCCTACCAGTTTGACTTCTTTGACCCATTCTTGGCACAAACATTCCTGCACACTTTTATGACTGTTTGGCCATGGCAGTCTACCTTAGTTTTACCTGCCTGTATCTTACACCTAGCTATCATGTACTGGACTGCCTCAAAGGCCTCTGCAGCCATTGATAGGACCTCTCGGTTTCAGGCTCTTTCTCAGTTTTCAGTGTTATATGCCATGCAGAAAGAGTCACTTAAAAAAAGAGAGCTGTTGAACTACTGACACACCCAAATAGATCAGACCAATGAACGCGGCAAACAAACATTAAAGGGATTGGCCTTAGAACCTGCTAAAAGACACACTAGAGTGTAAATGTCATCCGCATCAATTGAGGCCGCAGAACCCCTTTCTGCTCTGATGGGTCAGCAGGAAACAAGCTGCTGAGGCATCACTGTATGATCTTACTTAAAGAGTTTTCAGTGTGGGGTAAGGTGCATGTTCTTAAAGCTCTTCAAATTACTTTCCAAATAAAGAACTGGTATTCAGCTCAAGCCCTGTGCAGTTAGTTCAGACGCTTGGCCGACCAGTCTGTATTAATAGATATGTACATTTGAATCTACATTAACTGTCATCCAGAAGAATGATTTTGGATCCAAAACTCAATTTGTAAACTGACCTATCATATTTCAGTTGGTTTTAGTCTCATGGAGACACAGTCTAAGTAGAGTCGTTTTCTGTATAAATATACAGTACATTTTCAGCATACTTTGATTTACTGTAGATTCAGAACTCAATGACAGAGATTGAAGTTGTCAGTTTTTTTCCCGAATCAGATGTTGTAGCATATATTTCCTGGCCTCTCTTTTTCTTTTGTTTTATACTGTACTTTAACAAAAAATCCTCTAATGAGCATTAAGCTGGATAGCTAATATTTAGTGGTGTATTAGCTAATATTAATATTACCTTTGTGAAGAAAAGAATAGTTACACATCATGTAGTTTTATTGTGCATTGGGGATATATGTCTCCACCTTTGAAAAGAATATGTTAATTGTCACTTTGAAAAACTGCAGGCCAGAGTTTCTATAAATTTTCCAACTACAAGTAGCAGGCAATTTAACAGCAGCCGAGCCAATCCCAGCTCAAACTTACAGCATAAAATCAGTTTGTTAAACAGACAGCTACACAATTAACATCACAAGCTTGTGCAAGTGTGACTATTACAGGGTAAGATCAGAAAAATGGCAATTTCCAGTCCAAAACTGTTGTTTGTCCATGGAAACAACCCTTATTTTAACTGACTGTCTGAGCTTTGTTACCATTACATTGCCGACATTACTAATATCAGCAACAGAGATGGTATTAATCAAAGTTTAACATTTATTTGACAAGTTGGATGAGAATGGTAAATTGTATCAAGCAGTAAAAAGTGAGTTTTTAATACAATAATCAAGTCAATGGTTGAATGTACAAGTTTAGTGTGAAAATATTAATATATATAACAATACATATAAAAATAATAATGAGTTACCTTTGCCAGGTCCACCAAAGTGTTAGCTTGATCATTGAGTTTCCTCTGCTCCATCTTTACACTGCGCAGTCTGAGTGGAGGCAAGGACAGGGATGGAGGGAGGGGGGGGGGGGGTTGTTGAACAAAGAAAGAGTGAAATAGTGCAAAGTAAGAAAGAAGAAAGAAGGAGGCAAGGTGGACAAGAATGAGGAAAAGGAAACAGAATGAGAGAGATTTGCAGACACAGAGCAGTGAGACAGGTTGTTTGGAGTCAGAGGGGGAAGAAAGAAGGCCAACGGAGAGAGAGGAGGAGGAACAATATATGTTTTATCAGGGTTGTTCACTCAAATAAATGATCAACTAAAGAGAGACATCCATTGCAAACATATTTTACAAATCTGTGCATACATGTACTGTATATATAATCATATATTTATATATATATGTATATATACGGTACAATTAGTGTTTTTAAGCAAGCATTCCTGGTCTTGGTAAATACAAAACCAACCAAAACATGCAGAATTACAGAAGCATACTACACTTATTTTGAAAAATGAAAGATTTATACCATAACAAGATCTTTCTTTTTCTTCGTTACATTTCAACGAGTTAACAGCTACAAGGGATAATGTTGAAATGAGGAGTAATTTAGATTATATTAGGTAATTTTGTTACAAACAGGGGTGGGCGATGTGACATAGTTTTATCAACTATTAAGGGTCAATGCTAACAAACCTTCATATATCGCTGTCCTTTTTTCCCACAAAAAAACAGAAAATCCCTGGTGCATTTTCATCTTCACTTAATTCTAACATTTTTTAACTGCATTGCATTTTATCTCTCACAGCTTTTATCTGAAAAATGTATTCTTATGTAAAGGTTAAATTTCCTTTCTTGAGAGTGCACAAAACCCAGGGAAGAAGGCCTGGAATAGCATAGGACTCATTACAAAAGTGACGTTTCAATAACACAACATTGTCTAAAAAAAGAGAAAAGAATGTAACTAATTTAACCTAAAGTTCCGATACAAAATTTAAATACTGTTATACAAAAGAGTGTTGTTACAGTGGGGGCCACAGAGTAATGCTGCCAGAAAATCTTTTTATTCAAATTAGTAAGTTATTACAAGGCCACAATTTTGTCAAGCACATAAAGCTCTTAAACTTTTGTCTTGATTAAAGTACATTTAGCTCAGATATTATCGAACAAAGAATTGGAAATCAGACAAGTCATCTATTAAAATGTCAGTAAAGTACTGCTGGTTTTGTTGCAACATCAGACATTGATTTCAGTAGTTCTGCCTTAATGTTATCTAAATATTGTTTTAAGTCTCTTGCTGTGCAATGTCGCAAGACAAGAAAAAGGAGAATGTTTTTTTCTTTATTGTCAGGCCACATAAAACTGATTTGGGTCAGATTATGGGATAAACCTAAATTGCAATAGTGATTTAACAAGATTAAAACAGAGCCAACTCAATGACACTAAAAACTACGTCTTCCAACTCAACATAGTTCAGAATTAATCTTGCACTGTTGTGCATTGCTTAGGGGTCTGTCCAAGGAATCAGGTTGAACTAAACTATTAATATCAGAATAATGAAGCTGGAGGTGCTGAAAGCACAAACTGTAATCCTGAACTGTTTGAAGACCTGGAAGCAACACAGCTCCTGTTAGTCAAGGATATATCAAAAGAATCCAAACTGTGTGAATTAAATTTAATATGTCAGTTTAAATACTCAAACATTAAACAAGATCATATATGATTAAATAGTGTAAGTTATTTAATCATACTGCTGTAGGTATATGCATATGGCATGAAACTTATTTACTACTCTTAAAATACAGCACAGGATGGTTTAAATGCTGTTCCTACTAAAATACAACAAACCAGTTAGGGGGCTTTTGCAAAGGTTTTTCTTTGTTTTTCATTAGAAAAGAGGTTTTACTCACTCAATGATTTAGATTTTAAAACATTTTATGTGCAGGTATGGATATAAACATAAAAACAATACTGGATGCCTGATTTTACAGGTATTTCAGGCTAAACTCTAAATAGCTGTTTGAGGAAAGTACCTATATATCAATGATTTAATCAATTTAATAACCTATTAATTTTCTAAGAACATAAACTTGTCTGAAGGTGGAACAGATACATGTGTTAATCTGTTAACTGGAATTCAATTAGTTCCTGAGAACTTCAGATTAGCACCATACATTTCAATGGTGATACTTTCCAGTAAAAAGTCAACCAGCTAGGCAACACTAAAATACAAAAGATTAACTTAAAGTTGTCTTGCTAAGCCATTAATGTTGCCCTGTAACACAGGCTTCTAATCAGTATGAAATATTTGTGAATGACAGGTAATCTACGGATATGATTTTTATTTGATCTATTGGCCAAATCACCCACCTCTAGTTTAACCCAAAATTCTTAGAGGAAAAAGATTGAAATATTCATTAAAGACTCCCTGGTCAAATTAATGTTTTCCATCTGTAATGCAATATGCTTCTATAAAAAAAAAATCCTGTTTGAAATAAAAACATTTCTTTCTCTTTCCCCACAAAACTAAGACATAGGAAAAAGGAAAATGATTGCATGCCCTATGTAAGTCCTAAAAACATCTTATTGATAATACTTAATTTATTCAAAATGACCATTCAGTAAGCGTGCAGTGACAATGAATGACTCTGGACAATGACATTTTCTGTTTTATGATTGAGTGTGTTTTTGCATGTGGTAAGAAATGTGTGAGTGCTGTGGGGAAAAAAAAACACGCTTGACAGAAATACATCTCCACTTTTAAAATATGATTGATGCTATCTGCAAATGCCATTACTCGCATTACAAAATAAAGATGAAATATATTTATAAATACAAACTGCATAGAAAATTCACAGTTTCCCCAAAGATATCAACTCATTTTATGTTTTTTTTTAAAAAGATTTTTTTGGCTCTAGTGGCCTTTAATGACAGTAGCTTGACAGGAAAGGGGGTAGAGATAGAGAGGGGGAGACCTGCGGGAAAGGGCCACGGGCTGGATTCAAACCCAGGCCGCCCGCTTGCGAGCAAAGGCTCTGTATATGGGCCGCCCGCTCTAGCCATTAGGCTACGGCTGCGGCCCAACTCATTTTATGTTTGATGGCAGAAACACACTTCAAAACTGTAGAGACAGGACCAACAATAGACCTCAAAAGTACATAGTACTAACTGGAGGAACATGTTGCACCTAAAAAGGTTAGTTTGCAACTGGTCAGGAATATGATGTATGGTCAGAGATTTATCAATCTGCAAATATCTGTGTCAACAGAGCATTTTAATCCAGTCTACTACACTGCCAAAAAGACATACAAAACACACAATGTACGCTGACAACCATTCAATTCAAAATCACCAATTTACCTAACGTGCATGTTGTGGGATGATGGGAGGAATCTTACCATCCAAAGAAATTACAAGACTGTAGTATCTGAGAGAGCCCACATATACACGGAGAGATCATGGGAATCAAACCAGGAACCCTCTTGTTGTGAGGCAATACAACTAACACACACCATTGTGCAGCACATATATGGATTTTCCTCACTGCCAAATTCACTTTGGACATGCCATCATCTAGTGTACATAACACCATTAGAGGATTGTTCGAATTTGGCATCTTTGTGCACAATGTTTACAGGGCATATCGAATGCCTGTGATTTCAAGCAGCACTACCTTAAAAACTGAAATTATGCTATCCTGGAAACCACTCCACACACCTTATTTTCTGTAAGAATCATTTCTAGAAATCATTGTATGTGAACATAGTTAACTGTTTCCTTCGCAAAGCTCTATGACACAAAGGGAATATTTGAATATGACCAGCTAAGGATCTAAGGTCACATAAAAATGGACTGAGACAAAGTGTAAAATTGTTGGTGGTCAGAAAGATTGAACTGCAAATCTTTTTTTTGGAAATCTTGGATGATGTGTGTATGATTTGTTTAAAGAAAATAAGTACCATCTAGTTTGCTATCAACACTCAGTTCAAAAGCCTGCATCTATGATGGTATGAGGATGCATTGGTGCCTATGAAATAGGCACCACGCAATATGGAAATTCTTGTTTGCAGGAAAGCCTTGCAATTTTCAGCACGTTGCTTTTTTATTGTACAAAATTCAAAACTGTTGGTCTGCTGAGCAACAGAAATACTAAATCAGTAAAAATCAATATATCATTCTTCTTCCAAAAGTCATGCAACTGGTGTCCTCAGTATCCTGTTGATAAAGTGGAAAAGATGTCCCTCTCCCAAAGTCTTGAAGGGGGATTCTGCCTTCAAGTTCAAGAGAAGCTAATTTTTTTTTTTTTTACCAAATATTGAAATATTTGATACTTTTTCCATGATTTATTGTGAATAAATATTGGTTTGTTAGATTTGCAAATACTGCAGTATGTTTTAATTTGGTTAATTTTGAATGTTCTCTCAGAAAAGTGAATTTGGAATTATGTTTCTGTTGAGACTGTTGAACATGCAGGTATGTAAACATGAGAGCAACTGGCACAGTGCTACATGATATATTTTGTTAAGTCTTCAATAAATGAATTCTGGCACTAAAAGATGTTTTCATGCTGATGTGAAAAATGTTATTGTTACTTGTGGCATCACAAAGACATAATTTGAGTATGTGTCAGGAGGACTTTTCCTGTTTGAGACAGGATGACATTCAAGGACATTTATTCATGTGCAAATCAGTATATCAGAACACTGCTCACTTAGCGCTGTATCTCTGTGGTACACCACTACAGCTTATACACATGTTTGACTTTTGCTATTATGGTTGTCTAAGGGGCTAAAAGCTAAAAAAAAAAAAGTTCTCCATTTGATTTCTCAAAAGTAAAATGGGCATAATATGTTGAGCCTTTTCTATGACTTGTTCTTAATGAAACTTTGGGGTTTGATCTTATGTTAGATAGAAAAAATTAAAAAAATAAACTAACTGCAAACATTTCAAATTCTAAATAATGCATTGTATGTATTTGTGTCCCCACAAATCCAAAAGTGTAGGATGAGTTCTGTTGATACAGGTCAATATAGCCCACAGAGAAGCTATATTAATCATTGGCAACATTATGCATTACTGTATAGATGAGAATGAACTTTTTGAAGGTCCAACAAAGGTCAACGCTCATTCTGTGCAAGAAGCTTTTCCTTCACACATTCCCTCCAAACATCCTTGCAATACTGCACACTGGTGGCATAATGTCAATGCATTTTTTTCATTCCATTCAAGGGAAAATGAGAGAGGGAAGTAAATGGAAACACAGAAATAAAAAAATTGGCATCCAGCATTTTTTTTTCATGCATGTCAAACATAGACATGGAGGGAGGAGGGGAAGAAGGATGCAAAGGAAACAATAGGAGAAGGATACATAGAAGACTCAACTTACTTCTGAGCTCTGCAGTGATAGAGCGTAACAAGGACAAAACACAGTACAGAGTTTTAACCCCACAACATTCACGAAACGAGTGAAACTATTACACTTGTCGCTTTAAGCGCAGGGTAAAAGAGGGTTGGAAGGGGAAGAGCTGGGGCAGGGGACTAGGAGGAACCATAACAACAGTTTCTAGTGCGTGTGTGGATTTGTCAAAGTCTGCACGTGAATAGGCATAACAATCGAAGGAAATCATATGCTAGGAGAGAGCACAGTAACAAACACTGTATGGAGACACTACACAAATTTGGCTAAATTTTGTAATATTATTAACACTGCAAAAGACAAGCCTTAAATATATAACCACATAAATCTATACATAGTTTTGGTTTGGGCCCATGATTTACAGATTTTTAGTGGTAAGAGTAGTGCCCCCTAATATTCAGAAAAGTGTATGTAAATCAGGACAGGACTTACTGGTGGATGGCTTGGAGAAACTTGCGTTGGTGTTTCCGCACCTTGGCATGATCTATCTTCTTGACCAACTTTGTGTGTTTATAAATGAGCCATGTTTCCCTGAGTACATTGGCAGCTGTGTTCTTTACCTGTGATTCAATGAAGAAAAAGATATTTGATATGTCTTTACTTGAACTGTTTTGGTGACTCTTGAATATCATGTCAGAGTCAGAGCTTGGACTCTGTCTTTATATGTTTTGACTTCTTTTTTAGACACTACAAAACATTTAAAATATGAAGAGTGACATATCAGTTACACAAAAGCAGGTATAGTTTGTTTGGACACCAGCTTCTCACTATAGAAAACAATCTAAATATGTGAACAACATGAGCAAATATGTGTGCTACAATTTGTAGTATAGTATCTCTTTTTGTAACCTACAGTGCATACTACCAAAATACACAAAAACTGTTATTAACACAAAATTAGACATAATGATCCTTTTTTCAAATAAACGAGAATATAAAAAACAATTTTAGGATTCGAGACAGGTCCAAAAAATGAAAGAACCTAGCTAAAATAGTACTGGGTCAATCTTTGTTCTCCTGTTTTTTAATCTCTTCTTTTTTTAAATCATTCAATGATTTGTATGTTTAACCTCCTGAGGCCTGACTTTTATTCGGAGTGCATAACTTGCATTCTTCAAAATTTATGACATTAGTAAGACTCTATCAGTTTAAAAACTAGACTTTGTCATGGTACAGGTAGTTTTTCTTCGTATAGGCTCAGTGGGTTTATCTTCATATATAAAATGTTTGTTTATATATTTAATTAAATGTTTTTACAATTTGGTTTAGACAGTCCAAATGACTTATTTACTAAATTTTAATAACACAATAAGAACATGATTGGTTAAAAATGTATACAATTATTTTACTTTACATTTCGAACAAAAGTGTCCGATAGCGTCTACTATGCGGCCATGAGGACAAATTTGAAAGGAAAAAGAAGCATCATGGTAAAGAGAGGTAAAAATGGAATGTCCTCATATGAGGACGCCGGGTGTCAGGAGGTTAAGTGGTTTATACAAATGTGTGGAATCCACTGTTAGTTTGAAACTGAGGAAAAACAGTGACAACCGTCAGTTTATGCGTGAAGAAATTCACTGACTGTTGAAAACACAGATGGATAAGATCAAAACAGACCTTTCTGGTTTAAATGAGACGTGATTTTTTTGAGGACAGGAAAAACGCCATCTGTAGCCAAGCACTTTATGTGAAGAAATAATCAGCATTACAAAACTGAAGCTGCAGAGTATAGGATAATGGATTACAGTCCCTCAGTTTCCCAAATCAAAAGATCCCTGGAAGAGTTGCAGGGATTGTCGCACAATAATTCTGAACTATACACTGAAGATAAGTGAAAGCCTACTTTAAGCTCTCACAGATGTGTAATATTTGACTTTTTACTCTATAGCATGTACGTATGATGACATAACTCAAACTATGTGTGCTGAAACCTTCAACTTCCAAACATCAATGTACTGGTTTCCCAGAGTAGCTTGCAGTATCTTAAATATAAGAACGTTCGCACACAGTGGGAGTCTCCCACATGCCCTGCTGTCTACTACACTGTCAGGAGCTCTTATGCAATGACTATATAATGGCCTGAAAAAAATAAAAATAAAAAGGGAACTTGGAACTATTTCTATTTCCTAATGTTGTGTGGAGGAGGGAGTGTTTGCTCCAAGGGTTTGTAACCAATACCCTGCTTCATTATGAAAGTTACTAAATGGTGTAATATACTGTGACTCACTCGTTTGCAGAGCTGTGTGTCCATCATGAAGTTGTGGACATGTTTCTCAGCCTTGGTCAATTCCAACTTCCTGGCAACTACTGCAACGACCAGTGCAGTGCAACCAGCCCCCTGCAGTGCAAGTGCAGAATCCCCAAAACACAGCATAATTTAGTTTTTCATGCATTTAGTCCAGTATATCAACTTCATAATAGAGAAAATGAAGGGCAATTAAACACTGACATATATATATATATATATATACACGTCACTGACACAGAATCATTGAATGCACTGTTGTTCATTGATTGTTGAGAGAATCATATAGAAAGTTAATTCATATAACTTTATTTTGCCTGAAACTCAAGCAAATGAGTAACATTTTTCATGAAAATAGTTAGAACAAAGCTGTAAATCTATCCCAAGTGGATTTGTACATTTACCTATCTGAGAATAAAAGCTACCTACCATAATCCCTGTAAGCAGACACACGCCTTTCCCACAGTACGTGTGCGGTACCATATCCCCATAGCCAATAGAAAGGAAGGTAATTGAAATGAGCCACATGGCTCCCAGGAAGTTACTGGTCACTTCCTGTTTGTCATGATACCTGAAACAATATAGAGAGACAGAGTAAAGAGATACAGTCAGAAAAGTTAGACAGAGTGTTTGATTTTAAACATGCTGAACTAAGACATGGAGCTTTGTGAACCAAACAGGAGTGATGGATGGAACAGTAGAGAACTAAGGAGAGGGCAGAAATCACAATGAAAAGTAAAGATATTTGTATTCAAAACAGTTTGGCACAGTGTCTAAAAATGCATAAAACTTATGTTTGAAAGGTATCAATGAAAACCTATGCTGTACTTTTAAAGGTTCAACTGTGAATACTTTCTATTATTTTTTGTGTTTTTATCATTTCACTTTTGGACTTAAAACCTAAACAATAAAATTGGGAAAATACATATGCGGTGACTTCCTTAATTTTCTCTTAAAGGTTGAATGACTTCAGACTAAAGCAACTGAAAATGTCATGTATATTGTCTTTCAGTAAAAAATAAGTCACAATTTGATGTGATGAACAATATGAAGGAACATTCAGGGAACTGACCTGAAGAATCAGAAATGGAGCATAAAATGACATTTTTAGGAGAACATTTTCCTCAAAACAGTCATGTTGTAATACATGATTGAGTTGATAGCTACAGGTGAAACTTTTTTTTTTTTTTTAAGAATGTAAATCTGCCAGTATATCTTCACAGTTGGGTGAGTGATTGTAGTTGGCAGCAAATGTTTCATCTAAGAATATGCTACACTGAGAAAAAGCACCTCATCCCTTCAAACATGTTTGCTCGCTCCAAAATAGCTGACAACCATGCTTGACATTTCAATCCAAAGGCTAACAAAGTCTCTGAAAAAAAAGACAAAGAAAAATAATCTATTCCAAAAATTATATATAGCCGCACTGATTATGAAATACCAATACCTTCTGGAGCTAAACAAAAGTCCAGTAAGTATCTTATCACTCTCATTCCCTATGGAAGATTAGAATCAATGAGCTATCCAGGAGGAGGTAAAAGAAAAATTGTCTTTTATTTTAAACAAATATTGAATCCTACAGCACTATCAAAAAACATAGATTTACTTTTAATTCATGGTATTTGTTAGTATTTTCTCTTAAAGACTCTTAGTGGGCCAATTATGAATTTCTAAACTTCAAATAAATCAAATCTGCAGAATGGAGAATATGGTGCCACTTTTTCAAGAATACCAACTTTACTTTCTCCTCCAAAACAGTTCATCACTATCAAATACTACAAATTACTTTATCATGCCTTCTGTAGTGTGAGAAATCCACTGAAGTTCATGTTCATGCTCTTAATCAAGGGAACAAAATTATTAAAAACATATTTGTCCCACCAAAATTTTGTGGTGTGTGGTCTGCAGGATTCCAACTTTTTAAATGACATGCAGAGAAGCAGTCTGTATGGTACCATGCAGGAATAAAAAGATGTCTGCATCCTGCATGCTTCAAAGCCAGTATATTGAGAGCAAGGGAGTAATGAAAAAAACTAGGGTCCATTTAGCAATGACAAAAAGCCTCTAAAAAATATTGTAGTTTGACCACGAAGGAGATTGCACTGTCTTCTTGGACAAGCTTTCCTTTCTGAACATTGAGTTTGGGATTAAATAACTAACAAAGGATTACACTAATTGAATTTGACACTCATGTCTTTTACCTGTGATCCAACATTTCACCAGCAGCTCGTAAATAGTTGAAAGGGGCCTAAACCGGATCAACATCACAAATGTTCTTAATAAAGGGAATAGAATGTTAATTCTATTAATCTTGTCATCAAGCTGAGTCAAGTTTTCAAAGCAGGCAGAAATGTACTGCAATTTTATGGTATGTACTTCATTGGTTTTCTCTCTGCTGAAATACAATCCAAAAATATGCCCTCCAAAATGGTTATTTTCATTAGTTTCATTCGTTTATATGTATCATAGTAATTCTCTTCTCTGAAAAAAGCAGTAGACAGCATTAAAAGAGCAGAGCTCAAAGTGACATGGGTAGTTAATACAGTATTGTAAGCTCTCAATATACTGTGTAAACTTTTGGAATAGCATGGAGAAGAGCTGGCACCACTTTCGACCTATACCAGGACAAGATATTGACAATACCAAAACCGTATAGTATTTCCCCATGGTTACAGTATCTCTGACACTGACAATGAATAAAATCAGATCATTCACTCAGATGTTTCAATTATATCTATCGAGTTCTGGATCAGTACGTATACATAAGGTGTGTGCTGAGCTTCAGGAGATAATGTTGTGTAACAAAACAGGACAACAATAGAAAGAGCAATTATTAATAGCCTCACAGTAGCTTCAGCAGTCCACTCAAATTAACATCAAAGTATTAAGTAGTCCACTCAGCCCTGCAAACCAAAACAGGGACATTTTCTGTGTATGTGTCCTTAGGATACCACAATTCCAGTCATTTTAATCTCTCAACTACTAGAAGTGGCAGATAATCTCATTGTAAATTACACTAGTCCTATGAGGCCCATGAAGACAAATATACTTCCCGAACCATACTAATTAATTAAATATGAATGAAACACTTATAGTCCTTCAAGAAAATACTTTTATACAGACTCTGTCCCTCTCAAAACCCTCTCTTTCACGCGCACATACTCACACAAAAACATATTTTTTCATTTAAGCAGAACTAAAGGAAAGCCTTGTAAGTGCAATATTTAAAAATACTATCAACATAAATACATTGTGTAACTAGCTTCCATCTTAAGACTTTTCAGTGAAATGACACTAAGTGTTGGTTCCACTTGCTAGCTCTTTGACTGAACCACCTGACAGATGGGAAATCTATGAAACTGCTTTCATTTGAAAAAATATCCATAAACATAGGTATATTTCCGAAGAACAAAACTGGTGTAACTGAGGTATTACACAAATTTATAATTGGTACTATTGTGTTTTGGCTTCCTAAATATATATATTTGATGATGGATCTGTTTCTACTCCAGTATTTACAGTGCATTTTGTATTTCTTCCCGGAGATTCATAGCACCACCCGCTTTACTTTCCTCCACTATCAGCTGTACAGCAGATAGCAGACAGGTGGGAAACAAATATGTTTGGTCCTCAGGAAGGACCTCCTGGGGACCAAACACTTTCTGCTTCTCGTGAAGTGTGTTTAGTTTTAGTAAACATGAGCAGATATAATCCAAAGTAATAATGACCTAATTGAAAAACTGAAAAACCTTTCAGTGTCTTTACAGCCCAACTATAATGCAAATCGAGCAAGCAGAACAAGAAAAGGCCATAGACAAAGAAGTATTTTCCACCAGTACAATAACATTACTGTTGAGGAATTTTATATTTTCTAGCATATGAAGCTATTATCTCTTTCGGTATTTTATACTTTTAGTATTAAAAGAAAAAACACAATAAAAGACTGGTGTCATTGCAATGAAAACATTTACGATAACACTGGCAGAGGGGAAATAATAAAATCTGAATCTCTCTTCATCTCTTGGTTTTGAGTCTGAGTTAATCTCTGTTCAATGAATTCTTAGACACACTTGAGCAGTCAAGGGGCTCAATGCCACAGTGACCCTTCAATTGAAAGTCAAACACGTAAGAGTGGCTGTCTCAAAGGTGTGTCATGACGGTGCTGCTGAAAAAAGCCTAATTATGACCTTATGGTCAGATAATTACGACATATCGTAAAGTAAATGTGTTCTTTAACTTTCTAATTTTCTGTTTTTCAAGTCCTTTTGTGTCTAAAAATCTGAGTGTTTGATCTCAGTATTTATTAGTATAATATCATGCATTATCGGTGCCACGGTGGTGTAGTGGTTAGCACCATCACCTTACAGCTAGAGGGTTCTGGGTTTAAGTCACCAGGGGAACCAGGACCTTTCTGTTTGAAGTTTGCATGTGCTCCCTGTGTGTGCGTGGGTTCTCTCCAGGTACTCCGGCTTCCTCCCACCGTCCAAAAACCTGCATGTTTTGTGGATTGGACATTCCAAATTGCCCTTAGAAGTGAATGTGAGTGTGCATGGTTGTTCGTCCTAGTGTATCTCTGTGTGGCCCTGCGATGGACTGGCAGACCGTCCAAGGTGTACCACGCCTCTCGCCCATTGACTACTGGGTTAGGCTCGAGGCCCCCCATGACCCCATTGGGCACTAAGTGGTTACGAAAATGGATGGATATCATACAATCAGGGCGGCACGGTGGTGTGGTGGTTAGCACTGTCGCCTCCCAGCAAGAGGGTTCTGGGTTCGAATCCCGGGGGAACCAGGACCCTTCTGGGTGGAGTTTGCATGTTCTCCCTGTGTCTGCGTGGGTTCTCTCCGGGTTCTCCGGCTTCCTCCCACAGTCCAAAAACCTGCATGTTAGGCTGATTGGAGATTGGGGAAATTGCCCTTAGGAGTGAATGTGAGTGTGAGTGGTTGTTTGTCCTTGTATGTCCTGTGTGTGGCCCTGCGATGGACTGGCGGACCGTCCAGGGTGTACCCTGCCTCTCGCCTGTTGACCACTGGGATAGGCTCCAGTTCCCCCCGCGACCCCATGAGGGAATAAGCGGTATTGATAATGGATGGATGGATCATACAATCATTCCCTCATACACAACACATAGTATTCCGTAAAGCAAAAGGAGCAAGAGTGAATGATGCTTTATGTGAATGTCAGACCAGACATCATCCTTAAGTCACTTATTTAAGAAGCAACAGGCCTCATAATGCACTTATGTGGATGTGCTTTAAAACTTCCATCGTTGTAGGAAGGAGATAAAAACTAACTTTTATGCACAGAAAGTTACTGTGAAGACTATCCATTTCTTATGCCCAACGGGGTACTCTCAAGACCCCCTTGATACTGTATATCTTTCAATGTAATTATTACTATAGATATCACATATTTGCTTCCAAAGGCAGATGTTGATTTGGCCCTTTTATATATGAAGGACAGTTTTTTTCATATATATCAGTCAGAAACAAAAGCATTTCCCTAAAGAATGCAATATTAAAACACTGCGAATCATAACAAATAACTGAATATGTTACTTAACATGAGT